GAGCTGTTCTTAAGCCGAGCAGCAACGTGCGAGCTGTTCTTAAGCCGAGCTGATGATTTGCAGGATTGTCTGGCTCGGAGCGATGCAGACAATGCAGCACAGACAGCAGGATCAGCAGTCTTGCATGGGAGGGTGCCAGCCCCAATCTTTCCTGCAGAGCTTAAGGTGTGCAAATAACTCCAGCAGAAGAAAGGAGACCTTGCCTTGCCAAGCGATAAGATCGCTGCAAATCAGTGAACTTTGTAGCTGCGCCTTGCCTCTGCATAAGGCAACAGGCTCCACTTCCCACCCGGTGGGAAGGCACTGGCTTCCAGGCACCAGGAAATCACTGCACCGCACTCACTACTCTCTGCAAGATCCAATGGGAAACAGTCAAAACCTGCAAGCAGAAGCACTGCTTTGCACAATTTACTATTTTGTTTACCAAACCATAACAAAGGACGACCGAAAATCCTGTCAACCTGACAAGGACAACAGGAGTTAGCCGTTAATGCTAACGGAGGACAACACCATTTATAACAGGGATTATTACTGCAAGAAAATGAGTGGCTTGCCAGCATTACTAACGTACAGACACTTTCTCTGGGTTGTAGTGCAACCTCAGTGATCTACAAACAAAGATGAGATTTACTTTGAAGAGAAAAATGCTATTCTCATAGACAAATCTCCTCGGGGAGAAAAGGGGAAGCAACTTCATCTACTTCTCCTGTTCAGTAACAGGAACTTAGAGCTGCCCCCTTTGATAAACCAGGTAGAGACAAAGAACTTTAAAAGTGTATAACATTACAAAAAAAAATCTGTATTCATGTTTAATAATTTTACTTCTGGTTAGCACAGAAACCTTCAGTTTTGTCCCCCTTCTCCTTCCCATCCCCCACACACTGCACAGCAAAATTAAAGCCTGAAGCTCCTAATCCACTTCTCCGCACCTTATAGTTGCAAGAACAGGAGTCCATATTCTTCATATGTATGCTAGAAATAAATCAAAGAAGCGACTTTCCAGAGTTTTCATATCCATATATACAACTGAAACCATCTCCTTCCCTTCGCTTGCTGGAATAGCCAAGAGATTTATTAAAATTCACCTTTAGTTAAACGGCAAGCATTAAAAAGGATCATGAGATTTGCATACTTCAGCATCTCAGATTATTACAGTTTCCACACACGTTATTTCCCCTTCCAACATCCCATCAAACTTCAATTAAAGAATGCCCATATTAGTTGGATTTGGGTACTTCCTGCACTAACGAGATGCTGGAGCATCCAGGCTGATAACGCAGCAAGGCAGCAGAACTGATGCGTTCACAGCAGATCTCTGTTTAACATTGTTGTACTGACGGAAAATGCACCAAGCCCGCACTGTGCCTAGTACCTATATTTAGGGCCTAAGTTGACCTGAGAGTGCCCCCATAAGCTCATTTATTAAGATTCACTTATTCATTCTCGTATAATCTAATTAGACTGCAGCGCTCCCGCACGCAGGCAGTGACGGCGACCACGAGAGCAGGAGTTCAAACCCCAGGAACCTGGCACAGAGGCGGCTTGGGTTCCCTCCTGGAAAAGCCCAGAGGGATCACACCAGTTGCAGGTGCCCGCACGCTGTCTAGCTGTTTGATGCAGCACCCGGCTCCGCTCTGCCAGTCCCCCTTGCCAGCTAAAGGCCAATTCTTAAACTGGCACGCAGTCCAGCACGCTGTACATATCAGCTCCCCGCTCTTTGGGAATAAAAGCCCCAGCTAATGCCACAGTGGGGGAAGAACTGGGAATCCTATTCTCAGATGAGGCCCGGAGCAACAGGCACAGGCGCATTCCCAAATCAGAGACCACAGGCATCAACCCGGAAAAGCAGCACCAATGAGCCCCATTTTATGAAGGCACTTTACAAGGCTTCATTCCAGCACAGAATAAGAAGTTTTCAAAGCTCAGGAGTATCCTCCTCTCCTCCATCTAGCTTTATTTCAGACAGGCTAACAGGAAGAAGCTTGCAAGTCTTGAAAAATAAAGACTAGGAAGGGTTTTTTTGATTTTTTTTTAAAAAGGCATTACGTGTTTATTTCTTTTGGACATCTTGTCTAACGATGGGAGAAGAAACGGATTCCTAAGGTTCACGATCTGGTAATTCTCCATCCTATCACCTCCATAGTTTAGGCACAGTCATTAACAGCAAGTGATTTATCTGTTCCAGATGATCTTTAGCCCAGCAACTCGCTGCCTCGCTAGCCTAAAACAACCACCCCATAAACGTCAGAAAGGTTGAGGGCTTAGAAGGAGCAAAAAGAGCAAAGAGGTCGAGAGCCAGTAGGCTCTCGAAAAACATTCACTTTTTTAAAAATAGTGGAATCCTGCTATTTTGCCAACATAACTAAGCAGGAAGCGTAGGAGCTAAACGCAGATGCATAAAATGCCCTTTATATTATATTTATCTGTCAAAAGCTTTGCAACAGTTTTCCTCAAAAAGAGAACAATGAGAATACTGATAAGAGAACAAGGGGAGAAGACTTAAAGACTTTGACTTGTTTAACCTATCAAAACAAGAGGTGAGAGGGGTATGACAACTCCCTCTAATCACATCAGAGAGGGGGGGAAAAGAACTGTTTAAACCAAATGGCAAGGCGAGAACAAAAACAAATCTAGAACAACAACAAAATCCTATGAACTGGCCGTAAATAACTCGAGGGTGGAAACTGGGGGATCGTTCGGAGAGTCAGAGGCCCGGAGGTTCTAGAGCAGCTTTCCAGCGGGGATGGCAAGGAGGAGAGAACGATCAGGTTTCGCCTCAAAAGCGGTTGTGTTACGAAAGGCATTCACAACATGGATGCTTGCTATAAACAGAGAAACTAAACTCCATCAGGGGCTCCCTTCCGGTCTCAGGTTCTCCTAAGACAGAACCATAGGAGAGCAGGTTTTTCATTCCTACTACCTGCCCCAAAAATTGGGGCAACGAGTAGCCTGGTATTTCTTCGCGGCCCCTCCAGGACACCACGGGGGATGCTATTCACACTACTGACTAGCGACTTATAATTTGGGTATGATCAGGGATCCAAATTTGGGAGTTGAAGCTCTCAGAACAATCAATGGCGAGAGGTAGGTGTCCTGGCAGCAGAGGAGGTCAGGATTAGGAGCAACCAAGCTGGATGCCTAAAATAAAACAAGCGTCCTTTCCCCCCATGCCCTTACACTTAATAGTCTTGGCGAAAAACTTACTTAATCTATACCCACAGCCTCTACAATTCAATAAAAGAGTTCTAGTTCCTGAGGAATTTTGCTAACCTGGTTTTATGGCACTGATGCTCAAGCAATGATTAGACAGTTTTGAGCCATAATCATCCAGTCTCAAGCAGAAAGAAGAGATGATGCAAATGAAAGGTATTATTATATGGTTAACCAAATAATAACATGGTTTTATACAAGCATGAACAAGCCTTTCCATTTCCTTTACAGGGTTTCAAACACAGAGTAGCTGGCAGACTAAGTTATCTGAAACAGTTTAATTCAGCCCTTTTCCCCCCCACCATGATAAAACCCCGAAATGCACATTTCGCATCCTACTACTGCTCATTTTGAGAGCTGAAAGCATCTTCTTGACACTGATTAGAAAAGTAATATAAATTATCCGTGTAATAACGCTAGGAGAACATTTGCATTTCTATCCAAACCCAACCTTTCCCTGCTGTAGTTACACGCACAAGTTATTTTAATCACAGTGTGCAGAAAGCAGCATCAGCATATGAGGCAAGAGGGGAAAACATAAAAAAATAAAATGCGGTAAAGCAAGTTGCGTAGCCTGTTCAGGGACAGAAGTTACAGTGCAGTTATAGGAAAGAGTAAGGCAGAGATTCACTTCCAGCCCAAACCAAATGCAAGGACGTTAAGAGACTCACTTAGGGTCTCTTAGGAGGACTACAACAGGCAAGAAAAACATTCAAAGGAGGGTGAAATGCCTGAATTTGATCCCTTTTTAACTTTCACAGCAATCAATCCAGACTTTCTCCTAAGAGATTTCTGTCTTGCCATACCCAACTGTCCAGTTGCATTTACCATTTCTTTATGTCTACTAAACACCAACGGTCGAGCTTACGTGCATGTTGTTTGACAGAGGCAGCAACAGAAAATCCTCTATTAAAAGAATTTAAAAAAAAAAGTCACCTTAAGCAGAAAAGCACTAAGGCAACCGCCACAGTCATTTGCCACAGAGCAAGAAGTACTTAAATAAAAGTTTTTCCATTAGTGATCTCAAAAGAAATTGCATAGCTTTTGGGGAAAGAAGAGCTATAAACTGACAAGCCTGAAACATAAATGGAGACGTACGCTACCAGGGCGTAGCATCTGGCACTGCTTAATATAGAAATACCGTGCTATGCTATTCCTTATAGCTACCTACTTCGTTAAAACAGGTATCAGTTGTTATTAGCTGACGGTCCTTGTCTAACAGCACGCACGCAGCATTCGGATGATTTTATTCTACAGCTCGACTGCAATTAACAACGCACGGGATGGACTGAAGTTCACCAAACCAGAACAACTTAACTATCATTTAAGCAGCTCAGACCCCAAAGCGTTTGCTTACGTAAAGTTACAAAGATGCAACTTCACCACCTTAATTTCCCCCCTCCCCGTTGTCCACAGCTCCTCTCTTCACCGCCACCACCCCATAAGGGAAACGAAGACAAGGTGGGCCACGAAGACCTCAAGAAGACCTCCAGAGCGGCCGGTCACGATTCACCCCCTTTCCTTGCGTATAACGCACGCCGACACCGTTTCCCGGCAAGCGCTGGCTCCTGAAAGCACCCGCTCGCCTCAGCCAGCGGCGGAGGGAGGCGAGGAGCCGGAGCGGCGACCCGGGGGGCCAAGGAGAGAAAGGAGAACCAGAGGCTGGGGGCGACGCACAGCTCCGGCGGAGAACGTAGCTACGCGTAACCCACCCAGGCGCTACGCCAGCGGGCACAGATAGCTTTAAAAACATAAATATTTAAATATATACACACACACACACATACAACATGAAAATAACCCATAACCACGTGAAAACCCAGCGTGTTTTACCATACGCAGTCGACACCTCGCCAACCGAGAGGCCCGTTTTCACCTGGCCAGACCCAACGCTGCATCACGGCTGGCGGGTCCACGGCAGCGCCGGAGCGCTGGGCGAAGAGCGGCGGCTTGGCACCCTCAGAAAAGGGGTTTTTGAGGCTAAGGAAGGTTTTCTCGAGCAGCTCGGGAGGGCAGGGTCGGCGGTTCCCCGGGGCGGGCGAGGAAAGGGCTGCGGAGAGCCCGCGCTCAGGGGTCTCCGGCGCTCTGCGGCTCCGCCCCCGCC